TTTTTTTTTTTTTTGAGACAAAGTCTCGCTCTGTCACCCAGACTGGAACGCAGTGGTGTAATCTTGGCTCACTGCAACCTCTGCCTCCCCTGGTTCAAGCGATTCTCGTGCTTCAGCCTCTGGAGTAGCTGGGATTACAGGTGCCTGCCACCCTAATTTTTGTATTTTTAGTAGAGATGGGGTTTCACCATGTTGGCCAGGCTGGTCTTGAACTCCTGACCTCAGGTGATCCACCCACCTCGGCCTCCCAAATTTCTGGGATTACAGGCGTGAGCCTCCATACCTGGCCAGAAACATTTTAAGAATAGAGTTCTCTTCCCAATTTGGGGGCCGAGTCCTGATGTTTGCAGGGACCCTGACTTCAGAAAAAATATCAAGTGGGCCAAAGGCACTGAGAACTACCAAATGTAGCCCACTAACTCTGCCACCACTCCTTGATAATGACATCAGGCAAAGCAAAGAGCTACTGGGTGGACATTATCTCACTGGAGTCCTCGTAAGCACATGAGATAATAGTATTATCCTCCCATTTTATAAAAGAGGAAATTGAAACCTGGATGAGCAAATTACTTAACCTAAGGCAACCAGTTACTGAGTGGAGGAGGTAGAATTTGAACTGACCCCAAAGTCCCTAAACTGCCTCCACCCATCGTGGACAGGAGACATACACTCAACATATAAATAATCATGAGTACATCAGCCAGCCATTATTGGGTCATCTTGTCTACCCCGACCCCACCATTTCTAGGGAAGACTTTTATTTAATGGTGGGGGTAGGGAGGCTCAGAGGGTGGGATCATTATCAAGAGTTTCAGGGAAGAGGATCTCATCATAGTCCTTTCAAAAGTTCTGGCCCATGTCTCCCAGAGCAAGCTGTCCAGTCTCTCCAGGTTACTCATGCTGTCAGGGAGCTTTGCTTCAAGACCCGTTTTTTTTTGTTTTTTGTTTTTTTGTTTTTCTGGTTTTTTGGCCCAGGCTGGAGTGCAGCGGTGCAATCTTGGCTCACTGCAACCTCCACCTCCTGGGTTCAAGCAATCCTCCTACCTCAGTCTCCTGAGTAGCTGGGATTACAGGCACATGTCACCATGCCCAGTTAATTGTTGTATTTTTAGGAGAAACAGGGTTTCACCATGTTGGCCAGGCTGGTCTCGAACTCCTGGCCTCAAGTGATCTGCCTGCCTTGACCTCCCAAAGTGCTGGGATTACAGGCGTGAGCCACCACACCCAGCCTAAGACCCTTTTCAAATTCTTTTTTTGTGACAAGTTCTCATTCTGTTGCCCAGGCTGGAATGCAGTGATGCAGTCGTGGATCACTGCAGCCTCAATCTCCTAGGCTCAAGTGATTCTCCCCTCTCAGCCTCCCGAGTAGCTGGGACTACAGGCATGTGCCACCACACCTGGCTAATTTTTGTATTTTTTTGTAGGGATGGGGTTTTGCCATGTTGCCCAGTCTGGTTTCGAACTCCTGGGCTCAAGCAATCCACCCACCTCCCTTTTCAGTTTAAAACCAAACCTCACACTTGCCTCACTACCCCTCCTCCTCTGCAGATGTAGCTGTGGAGATTCTAGGAGCAGATGGGCTCTCTTTCAGACAGGAGGTCTGGCGGAGATGCGCCCACGGCTTTTCCTCTTCCGGACTTGCTGCTGATCCACTGGCCAGCTCCAGCCAGGCCCAGCTACCAGCTCTGTAGTGTTCCTGGGTCCCAGACCCTCGGCCTGAGCTATTGTGAGCCCAGCCTGTGTGTGCATGTGCATGCACGTGTGTGTGTATAAGCAGCTGTGGGAGCCAGGACAAGATTAACCTTGGTCTGCTCCCACCCTCTGGATATGGGGAAGTGCCCACTCAGCAGGGAATGCCTGGAGGGCAAAGGTGAAAAGTCCAGGGAAGGGGACGGAAGGGGTTATGGTGGGACACAGGGCTGAGGAAGAGAAATGTGACTTATTCCCAAAGGTGCCCTAATCAGGTGGACCTGGAACCAGGCTAGCCACTCACTTTGAACAACAGAGCAGAACAGGGACTGCAATTAATTAAGTACCAGGGGAGGGTCCTCCTATCTCAGGGGAAGAAGGCGCTGCCAGAGGCCCCTCAGAGCAGGAGGCTGCTGCCTCTCCAGCTCCCAGTGCCTGTCTCATTCATACCTGCTAGAAGGTAGGGCCCCCACAGCACAGATTCCTGGCCACTCCTGGAAGATTTCCATCCAACCCATTGCCCTACCACCACCACCATTCTTACACAGAGCCCTCCTCCCTAACCTAGAAGAGCAGTAAAGATTCTGTCTAACTCAGGGCTTGGCCTGATGGGGCTGGGAAAATCTACCTTGGTCTCTAGACCAGCCCTGGTACAATCACTAGGAAATTCCCTTGCCAAACAAGCACCACCAACCACTATAGCTACCGGTTATTTAGTCTCTGCTACATGCCAGGCACTGTGCATTATTTCATTTAAATCTTATAACAGCCCTCTCTGTTATGATCCTCATTTTACAGATGAGGGAACAGATGCTGGGAGAAGTTCATGAGTGTGCTAGTGAAGGGAAGGTCACATAGCTACTATATGCTGGAGCTGGATTCCACCAAGGCCAGAGGTTTGCCCTCCCCTTTAGGTCTCCAGCTCAGTTAGAGAAGAACAGAAGGAATCAGAGGACAAGTAGATGGAGATGCCGGACAAAAGTCCCAACAGGGTGATCCCAGAAAGTAGAGGCTTGGTTAGGGTAGGAACTGGGAAGAGTCAAGCTGGGCTCTGCCCTACAGTGTGGGACGCATTCCCCTGAGTGCAGGACGGCCCAAGTAGGCAGAGGACAGAGTCCGGGTCTGTAGAGGAAGCAAATGCACCCTGAAAGGCAACTCCAAGTCCTCTAGACCCGAGTGGGGGTTTGCAGGGCTGGCAGCCTGATCCCACGAGATCTCAGAACAACAACCTACTTGCTCCTCAGATCTGGTGCCTTCTCTCCTGTGCCCCATGAAGAAGGCTGGCTCTGCCTAGTGCAGGACAGACAGATGGGAGCCTCAATACTTGGAGCACCACTCCCATTCTTCCTTCTCCCGAGGACTGATGCAGACCAGAGAACCCCAGAGTGGGCCGCAACCTCCCCATAATGGGGCAGGGGTTGACAGCAGAGGCTTGGGGTCAGAAGGAAGTGGGCTGGATCCCACCTCTGTGTGACCTTGGAAAAGCTGGTCTCAGAGACTCAGTTTCTTCACCTGTAAAATGGGGATGATAACAATACCTACTTCATAAAGTTGTGACACACTGCTTGGCACACAGTAGATATTCAACAAATGGTGGCCACTAAGGCTTGTCTACTCTGCCTCTGGCACACGGTAAGTCTGGGAAGAACTTCTTCTGGCACGCGTGGAGAGCTTCTTCCATTCTCCTGGCAGGGTATGGGGAGAGTCCTGGAGACCCAGTGGGGAGAGTCCTGGGAACCTAATGGTCAGGTATACCCCAGATTAAGGGTGGGGGAGGTCAGCCCCACAGGCTCCTCAGCTGCGCAGGAGGTGGCTGGGACAGGGTAACCCGAGATAGTAGCTTTGCTGTGGCAAGGTGACCCTCTCTCTGGAACGCCTTCAGGATGCAAACTCAGACCTGGAGCCAGTGTCGCCCTGTACTCCACCGACCCTCAGCACCCTCAGCACCATTTTCTCAGGCCCCTCCCAAGGCCAGGCTAAAGGCAGAGGATCTCTGAGGACATGCCAGTCCACCAGGCGCTCCAGGCATCCTCTCAGGACAGTGTCCAGGAATGTGCCGCGTGCCCATGCCCGGGTGGGGAATGCCACGCGAACATGCCAAAGCTCACCGGGTGCTGACACAGGAGGGGCAAGCCGGTGGTGTCAGTGAGTCACAGGGCCCAGGCCACAGTTGGGTAACTGCTGAGGGCTGGGCTGGGGTGGAGAGGAAGGGGAGACAGTAGCAGACAGCGCAGAAGAGGTTCCAGGGCCTCCCACTCCCACAGTGTCAATCCTCCCACCCCGACTGCCAGGAGGTGCCCAGAGAGAAGGAAGAGAGGCGGCGCTGGTGCCTAAGAGGGCGCTGACCCTGCAGCACAGAAAACCCCTCACTGTCTCTGTAGCCCAACTCCCATCCAGCACAAGGTCTGCAGACACCTTCAGGGAATCCCCGCCCCCAGCAGGGCGAAAACAGAGGCCTCCAGTCCAGACCCGATTTTGGATTTCAGATTCCTGATGGTCTCCCCCAACTACAGCAGAATCCTCAAGGCACATCTCCTTAGCCCAACAGGTCACCGCCCACTACTCCCCCCACCCTCCCCTGCCCCCGCCTCTTTTCCCACTGCTGCATTAACCCTCTGGCGCCTGCCGATGAGGGGTGGAGGGGGCACTGCCCCTTTGGTCTTCCGGGGTGGAATGAGAGAAGAGGCAGCATTCCCCAGACCCCTGCCTGCCCCAGAACTGGGACCTGCAGGGCTTCACGTGTCCTTCCACGTTCTTCCCAGGGCTCTGGCCTCCCACCCGCTGCCTGCCGCTCTGGAAAGTTCACCAGAGCCCAGGAAGCCCTTCAAGGCGGCGATGTGGCCCCACACTCTCGGGTCCTCTGGTCTCTGGAGACCCCTGCCCCTTGCCCTTCCCAGAATGAAGGGAGATTAGAAAGCGCCTGGTTCGGGACTGGGTGGAAAACTTTGCTTTGTAGGGTTCAGACAGGAGCCCAGGGGCCAAAGTGATCCCAGATGGAGACTCCCTGAGGGGGCGCAGGGTCTTAGACTGCAAAATAGCCCTCCCTCTCCAGCACCTGGAACTTAGGAGTGGTCTTTCCAGGGTACCCCCCACCCCTCAACACACAACACAGTATCACACAGATCACGCCTCGTGATCCTCTGCTGTCCTTTCGCCGCTCCGGTATTTCCCTCCAACCTCCCGCCCCAGGGCAAAAGCAAAACTGCGCCTTTAAGAGCCGTTCCGCTTACCTTTGCTCCGTACACCCGGCGCCGCGGTGCCCCCTCCTCCGACCTCCCCTTCCTCCCCGGCGCACCGCCCGCGGGACTCACCGCGCGTGTCCTGGGGGCTGCGGTGCGCCCGCTCCCTCCCGCGACGGCCGGGGTGCCGCGGGGTTAGGTGCCGTGCCTTGCGCCCTGCTGGGGTCTCCGCCCGGGCACGGGGCAGCTTCCCCTGCTCTGGAAAGGTGAGCAGTTCCCCAGAGAAGCTGCAACCTGAGCTGGCCGAGGAGGAGGTAGAAGGGGAGGGGAAGGGAGGGAGTGGAGGAAGGTGGGGAAGAGGAGGGAGGAGGAGGAGGAGGAGGAGGAGGAAGGAAAATGCCCGGCCCCCGCCAGAGTTTTTCACATGTACAAGTTGACTCCGCCCCCGGCCCTCCCGCCCTGCCCACAGCCGCTACCAATCCCCAGGGCTCCCTCTGCCCGGGTGCCCACCCCTTTCTCCCACTCTGGGAACCAGGGTCCAAGTGCCTCTTCCTGTTTCGTTTCTAAAGCCGGCCCTGAGAGCCTTGACTAGGGGATGAGGCCTTCTGGACTGGATCACCCCAGGACACCAAGGCGCCAGGGGTACACTGACAGTGCCTGCCTATCACTAAAGCAGTGTTCCTACCTCTTCTAGGTACCTCCCAGTACCTAGCGCCCTAGGAACGAATGTGCATGGACAAATTTTGGTGGTCATTTTCTTGACAATAGTAGCCCTCGGGCTCCCCTTCTACTCTATCCAGTGGGACTTGTCACTTATCTTTCCAGACAAAGTTCCCACCTCTCCAGGACCTGAATGAAGCCCTTGCTACCAGCCATCATTCCCATTTTCCTCCCCGAAGGATAATTCAACGTGTCCTTTTGGAATTAAATTCCACAGGATATTTGAGAATCACCCAAGAAAAGTTACAGAATGGCTGGTTCAGCTAGTGGCACTCTCATTTTACAGAATGGGAAACAGGCCCAGCAAAGCAATTGAACTGGCCCAAAGTGCCACCAGAATTAATGGCGAGCCATGATTAGAACTCAGACCAATGGCCATTGCACCCACATCATCTGACTTCAAGGATCACAAAAACAAAACAAAAATCTGGGGATGGAGGTGCAGGGCACAGTCCCCACTGCCAGGCCCCTCTCATCTCTGCTTCCTCCTGAGGGCTGTGAGGAGAGGAGATGTGTCTTGGCTCTAGGGCACCTCATCAAGGAGGTCTGTGTCCCCTGCCCTCCCAGCGGGCTTGGCTACTGCAGTCTGGGATCTCCAACAGGGAAGGTCTCCTTAGGAGGGGGTGCTCCACAGTGTACATGTGCTTCTACCCGAACCCTTTCCCTGGGGACCGTGAGTTGTTGAGAATAGAACAGTTTCCTTCTGGAAGACATGGGCCTGAGGTCCCACTCTCAGCAGGAGACAGGAGAATGAAGGAAGACACTGGGCCCATGCATGAAAGTGACCTGTGGGTAATTGACATCTCACAGGGGACCTCCCAACTCTTTTTTTTACCTCTGCTTTCTCTGCTAGGGCATGCAGATTTCCTGGGTACAAGCACTTCCTAAAAATGAAACCACCAAGTGTTATTGGGGTGCATGGATCCAGAGCCTTTAGGTGTGCAGCAACCTGCCTGGCTCCATAGTCCAGTGGGTGGTGGGAAGACTGGGGAGCAGGAGGCCATGAAGAGGTTTGGAAGGGGCAGGGAGGGAAAGGGAGAAGGACTACAGCGAAGGAACTGTTTACTAGCTTTACTAGCAGATTAGAGAGAGTGGGGCCAAAGGGTAGAGTTTCAGGGAACTAGGGGGGTGAAGTCAAGAGGTCTCCACAAACACTTTCTCAACATCTCTTATATGCCAAATGATAGCCAGGACTCTGGGCACATAAGATGAATATAACCCAGTCCCTGCCCACAAGAAGCTCATGGTGTAATGGGGCAGGGAAGCAAACAGTTAGGATGCTATAGGAGGGAACTTAGTGTTATGGATGCCTGGGAGGAGCTGTTCTGCTTGAGGTGAGGGTTACAGGATGACGGCACAAGAGAGGGGAGGAAGGGTTTTACCTGTTTTTCCAGGAGGGATAATCCCTTGTGCAGAGTGCAGGGGTGAAAGAATATGGACCCACAGTTCTATGAGGTCAGAGCTTAAAGTCTGGGGTGGAGGTGACACTGTAGAGGCAGGCAGGTGCTGGGTCCTGAAGACCCCCCATTTGGAGGCTGATCCTAGTGGAAAATGAGAATGAGCTTAGACCACACAGCGGCATCAGGGAGGAGAGGAGAGAACTGATTTGAGAGATAGGTAGGAGAAAGGGTCATAGAGCCTTGTGACTATTGGATTCTAGAAGATAAGGGAGCCAAGAGTGTCAAGATTGGAAGCACTGATGTGATAGGCTGAGTGGAACCTTGGAGCTTCTTAAGTGAGCCTTGATTCCCAGCACCTCCTTAGGTTGCTCTCTGAACTTGGGCAAGCGAACTAACCTTTCTGAGGCCATCTGTAGAACAAAGTTGCTAAAATCAATCTTGTATGGTTGTTGTGAATATTAGGGTAATGTATGCTAAGGGCCTAGCATAGGACTTGGCTCATAATGCAGAACTCAATAGATAATAAATATAATTACCATCATTCATCCATTCAACAAACATTTATTGAGCACCTGCTCTGTTACAAGGACTATACTGAATCCTTGCATTGGATAGATGATTTTAAGTCTGAACTCCTATTCTCATGCAGCTCACTATTCAGGGGGAGAAAGATGTTCAGAGCAACAGTCAACTACCAAAGCAATATGGGCTGAGCAGAGGAAGAAGCCCCTAACTCTGCCCAAGAGAATTTGGGACAGCTCCACAGAGGAGAGATGGCACTGAAATGATGTAGGGCCAGCCACCTGCTCGGAACCTGTCACATCACCCCCTGCTCCCCCCCCACCACATGGGATTGCTTCAGAATCTCTGAAAGCTTCAGTTTTGAAGCATCGTCTTGCTTCTCAGGGTTGAAGGAAGAGGATGAACTGCAGGTGGGCATCTATATGAAGCCTGGAGAATGGCACGTCAAGCTTTGGCCACCTCAGGAAAGGGGAAGTGCAGATGGGCAGGTGGGAGGGGGGAACTAGGTAAGAGTGACCCTGGGCAGGGCTTCCTAGCTGGATAGGGAGCCCGTGATATGCGGTCATACACATCAGTGGCCTGTGTATGTGTGCTCTTTGGGTCATCCTAATTTTTCTGCTTCTCATCTGTATCATTCCAAAAATTCCCTCTTTGGACTCCCTTGGTGTCCCCTGCCCTCCAATGCCAACTTCCTTTCTGTGCATCTCGCAATAAGCCCAAAACAGTCGAAGCAGCACTACCTAGGTCTTCCACTAAGGAGGGGCTCCTTCCCTGCTGCCTTACCAAGCAATACTTTGAGCTTTAAAGCCACATAAACTGTGTGACCTTGGGCAGTTACTGACGTATCTGACTTCCTTTCCTGTCCATAACATGGAGATGGTAACAGTCCCTATCTCATGGGGCTGTTGTGAGGTTTCAATAAGATGTAAACTTGGCACCCAATCAATGCTGTTTCTCTTTTCTGCAGCCCATTAACTCCCTCCTTGCAGAGGGACAGACAACAGACTCTCAGCTGGGGGTTTCCCTGGCACCCCAGTCCCTGGGGCCCATCCCCTGTGGGCCCTGCAGCCCCCTTCCCCTCTGCTAGTCTAATGGATCTGTGGCATCCCTGGGAGGCCCTGGTCACCCTAGCCGTGAAGCAGTGTAATGCTGGCAGGCCTGAGCAGCATGACAATGGTGGCCCCAGCGGCAGCTCAGCCCACTCCCCGCTCTGCTCCTGTCTCTCCTCCCCACTGCCAGTGACATGCCACTGCTCTGCAGATAGGACAGGCGTCCCTGGGTGCCTGAGGGCTGAGCAGGGAAACTGGAAACAGCTCTCCCTCACAGACTGTGTGGGCAGTGCATTTGAATAGCTTTTGAAAAACCAAAGTTCACGCCCACCCCACTTTCCCCTGGGAGGCACAGCATCCAGACAAGGAGAGTTCAGCCAACAGAGAATCTCCTTTCTGCACATTGTCACGGGCTCCCTTCCCCTCTGGCCCTGCATCCAAGCAGGCACAATCTCTGAAAGCCCTGCAGGGACCTTTAGGAAGCGAGAGACTTGACTCTGCCCCTAAGGTGCAGAAATCACTTTGTTTATCTGGGCTTCTGTTTTCCTCTATAGCAAAATGGGAATAGTGTGAATACCTGCCTTTCAGAATGTGAGAATTAAATGCAAAGGTGACCGTCAAAGTGCTTTGCACACTGTAGAATGATCTGCATGTGTATGAGATCATTAGTGTTTGGCCAAAGGGCCCTTCTTAGGGTTCCAGGAATCAAGTGAAGACATGAGAAATGAGAAGCCAAGTGAGAACAGAGAAACTCACCTCAACAGCCTGCCTTTGGCAGCCAGGAGGGAGATTGGCAGCAGAGACCTGAAGATGGACTGACCCATTATGGCCTAGCTAGTTAGAGGTCTGTGAGTCATTGGGACAGCAGGACTTGGCTAGACTGAGCCAACTCTTACTCCTCCTCTGGCTAAACCTAGGCCATTGTTTCCCAGTGATTTATGAGAAGTGGGGATGATTAGGAGAAGAATATCATTTACCTCATTGCAGTGTGATTCCAGCAGAGAGCCTGGGACTTTCTGCTTTATCACTGCACCAAGTGTCATATCCTTCCTTCACTATTTGTGGTGAAAGTACAGGCATGTGTGCACTCATGCATGTGTTTACACATATGCACGCATGCGTGCACACACGCACACACCATTCTAGATTTCAGATGAGGCAACAGCTGCATCCCCGCAAGGTTCTAGGACAGGGTGGACACATAAATAGAGTCAGCCAATCACAGACCAGTTGACCCTAGCAACTATCAAACCAATTAGAACCCCACCACTGCATCCAGTGGTGCCTTCCAAACTTACACACACACACACACACACACACACACACACACACACACTCCCTTCAGGTTGACGCATTGCCATGACAACAGAATCACCACACAAAGCTGGTGTAAATGGGAAAGTGGTCCTTAGGAACAAGACTGGAAGTCTTTGGGGTGAGGCTGCAGGCCACACTGGCTGGGGTGGG